TTTAAAGAGAAAAGAACAAAAACAAAATAATAAAAACAAAGACAAAAACAAAACAACACAAAAACTATAAAAATAATACAGAATTTCAAAACAAGATGATAGGAAATCAACAATGGTTGTTGTATTGCTTATTGTTATCTTCAAGTAGTTGCTCAGATTACCAGATATAGATATGCAAAGATTGATCGAACAATTAAACATAAACTGTTCCTTTCAATAAACCAATAGAAATTAGTAGTACAATTATCTTAGCTATCTAGTGTATGTATGTGTATGTGTGTGTGTGTGTGTGTGTGTGTGTATGTATATATTTCCCTTTCTTCTTTCTTTCTTTTCTTCTTTCCCTCATCCCAGTTGTTCTTTCCTATTAAGCAGTTTCTTTCCTTTCACAATATCTACTGTGCCTTTCAGTTTTATTTACTCTTTCAGGCTCTTACACTAGGGGTGAGTGTTTCAGGTTTACACATGCGGGTCTTATTTATTTCACTTATGAGTATGGTCTCTAGTTACATCTGTTTACCTATAAAAGCCTTGAGTTTATCTCTCTTTATAGTTGATTCATTTGTTTGTTTTTGTTTTTTGTTTTTTGTTTTTTCTTCAGGTACCAGGAATCGAACTCAGGACCTTGCGCTTGCCAGGCAGGTGCTGTGCCACTGAGCTAAATACCCAGCCCCTCTTTCTTTATAGTTGAGTAATATTCCATTGTGTAAAAATACCACATTTTTCTTATCCACTCCTCAGTTGATGGGCATTTGGGTTGTTTCCAAGATTTTGCTATGACAAAGTGTATTGCTGTAAACATGGGTGCACATGTATTGCTGTGGTATGATGTTTTAATTCTTCTGGGAAAATACTGAGAAGGGAATGGCTGGGTTAAATGGGATCTCTAAATCCTAATTTTTTGAGGAATCTCCAGACTGATTTCCAAAGTGATTGCACCAGTCCACATTACCACCAACAGTGGAGAAGAGTTCTTTTTTCCCCATAGCCCCTCCAGCATTTGTTGTTGGTTGATTTCTTGATGGTAGGTATTCTTACTGGGAGGACATGAAATCTCAGTGTTGTTTTAATTTGCATCTCTCGAATGACCAATAACATTGAACATTTTTTCATTTTTTCATATTTGCCATTTGTATTTCTTCATCTGAGAAGTGTGTATTTCTCGGATGCCCAATTTTGGATTGAGTCTTTGAATTTGGCGGAGTCTGAGTTTTCTCAATTCTTTATATGTTCTAGATATAAGTCCTTTGTCTGAGGGACAGTTAGTTAAAATGTTTTCCCACTCTATGGGTTGTCTTTTCACTCTATTGGTGATTTCTTTTAAAATACAAAAGCTTTTTATTTATTTTTTTGGTACTGGGAATCGAACTCACAACCTTGCACTTGGCAGGCAGGTGCTGCACCGCTGAGCTGTATTCCCGGCTCACAAAAGCTTTTTAGTAGGATGAGATCGCAGTTGTTGATTCTTTGAAATGTTTCCTTTGCAGTTTGGGTTTTGTTCATAAAGACTGTGCCTACATCTGTTTCTTGAATATTTTGACCTACTTTCTCTTCCAGTAGATTTAGTGTTTCTGCTTTAATATTTAAATCTTTGATCCATTTTGACTTTAGTGCATGGTGATAGACATGGGTCTTATTTTAGTCTTCAGCATGTAGACAGCCAGTTTTTCCAGCGCCATTTATTAAAGAGGCTATCTTTCTTCAAGTGATCATGTTTGACCCCTTTGTCAAAGATAAGGTGGCTGAGTATGTTTGTAGTTGTCTCCGCATCTTCTAATCTGTTCTGGTTTTTAGGTCTATTTTTTTGCCAGTACCATGCTGATTTTTATCACAGTAGCTTTGTAGTATAATTTCAAGTCAGGGATTGTGATGCCTCCTGACTTGTCTTTGTTGCCCAGGATTGCCTTTGCTATTCTAGGTCTCTTCTGGTTCCAAATGAATTTTAAGAGTATTTTCTGAATGTCTGTGAGGTATGCTAATGGTGTTTTGATTGGGATTGCATTAAATCGG